AATTATAAATAATTAGAGATTTTATGATTTATAAGAATTTATTTGCACGATTGAATTTATCAGTCAAATAGTCAGTCAAAATCTCGTGAAAATTGATAAAACAAATATATTTCTTTTAAAACTAATTGATCTCCCAAAATCCCAAATAAAACTGAAGAATATTTTAATTAGTTTCAAACAGATTTATCCTTTTATATCTCTTTTAAACTGATTTTTATTAAAGAAAACTCCGAAAACGTAACTCCACGATAGCACTTTGACCCGCACATCGATCTAAACAGTGTCTGGGGAGAATTTAATCAGGCCGGGTCCTGTCTCGGTGTTCAGGAAATGTTGCAAGAATTTTCCCCGCGCTGTATCGTGTTTACTGAAGTCGTTTTTTCCCCTGCCCGAGACAGTTAGTGGGAATTGCTGGAGCCTTAGAGGTGTAACCTTATGGTGGACTGACCTTATGGTGGACTGACCTTTTGCTGGCCTGACCTTATGGTGGACTGACCTTATGGTGGACTGACCTTATGGTGGCCTGACCTTATGGTGGCCTGAGGCTGAACCGTATGGTGGCCTGAACCTTATGGTTAATTGACAGCTCTAATCTGATCTTAGAAAGGTCAACCGGATGAACTGAACTTAGATGAAGGTCAATGTCTTGTATCGTGTATCATACAGTGAAGGAATGTGTATTGGATCGAACTTTTGTATTTTTATTCATTGTGTTGTTTATTATATTATACATTGAATAATCTTTTTGTAGTTTGAATTCTTAAACCTAACCTAACCTAACCTAACCCTCCCCACACTTTTTTTAGCCATATTATGAATGAATGATTCGTGGGCTAATGTTAACATATTTTGGCTTTTACCATTTCACGAATAATCGTTTCGTGGCTTAAAACGTTTACGTATTTTCTTAAGAGTGAATAAACGTTTTGCAGATCAAATTCCTTATGTATTATTTTTTTTCGTTTATCATACAGCGAATAAACGTTTCCTGGATGGAACTTTTATCGGCTAACCTTTACTCTAGTTTGTTTTTGTAAATTGGATTCCGTTCGCCCAGAGGCACAACGCGGCGTCCAATAAAATTTTTACTTTCTCGTCGATGTGGAATTTCGCCTCGTCCGTAGTCAAATGGAATGATTCTCAACGTTTCCTTACGCCATATACGTTTCCCATAAGTAGAGACTGGGAGAGCGGATCAGTTCTCGGTAGTCTTGATACGAATTTGCCGCTCTTTTGACCAATGTGTCTGATGCCACAGGTTAAATATATCAGTTAGAGGCGTTCCTACACCTCCAGTTCACGGGGAAAATATTTAGCAAGTGTATTTGAGATTCTTAGTATTGATTTTTCTTATTCTCGAAGATTAACGGGTAAGATTTTTCTCCTTAAATTGAGGTGTGACAAGTTTTCAATATAAAAGACATTAAAATTCCATTGAAACTTTATCATAGATCCTGGGTTATATTCTTCATGCTTCACAGGACATTATGCAGTTGAAACATATGAACATGGCGAGAACGACTTGTACTTCAAAACTCTATAACAATGTTCAAAATTCATTTACTCTACACAAAATACACTACATATTTCACCACACATTTTAACCTACGAGAAGGAATTAAGCTGTTACAACGCATTAAACTGACTCACCTCAACTGCAACACAGAGCGGCAGTGTTAAGCTTTGTCATCACAGCTTAGAGACTTTACTGCTGCTTCTCTTATAAGCGTTGTCGTGTCCTCCATTACCGGAAAAAACGGGCAATTTTTTTCTTGTTTTAATTTGAGTCCTGCCTGGTTGCCTGCCTGCCCGGCTGGTCAAAGGGGCAGCAGCAGCGCCCAGCACACAGACCCCCGACAGGAGTCACAGCAGAGGGACGCGAACCCACTGATTAAATGACTTCCCCACCAGCCACCACTCACCCACCAACCCTTCCTTCCTCCCTTCTAACCCACCCAGTGTATCAGTCGAGAGAGAGAGAGAGAGCGAGAGAGAGAGAGAGAGAGAGAGAGAGTCTGCTAAAAATGACCGGGAAAGGAAAATGGAAAGTAAGTTCTTTCTTTTTACTTAATCCTCCCTTTATCTCCCTTCTCCTATCCTCTCCCTTTCCCACCCTACCTAGTACGTCCAATTCCACCTCAGACACCACTCCCCTCCCCACCCACCCCCTTATCTCTCTAGGTAACCCCCCTCCCTTAACCACTTGCTAAATATCCTCCTTTTTCCCCTTTCCCCTATTTTTTACTAATTTTATACAGAATAATTGATCCTCATATTAATAATTTAGGTTAAGTTACGCTGCACCGAAATTTGTTTGGTAAAATAGGTTATTGAGGACGCCATGTCAATGCGATTCTGAAATGTAAAAAAAATATCGTCGGGGTGTGAAAACAAAATTCGTTTCATCTGCAATATCCAACTTATTTAAAACGATAACATATTTATTAAAGTATATAATTTCATTCCAGATCTCTAGATGCAAAGTAAGTTAATGTCATTATGATTTAATAAAAAAAAAAATAATATATTAGGTATTACAATCGCAAATTCTTCTTGGAAATCTCACGTACCTTCACCTGACGTCACTCAATCAGTCTCCGCCCACGCGTAGTTTAGGTAACATGTTGTGCGGTTTCTCTCCAATTTTTATCGTTTTTGTGAAGAAAATCGGACAGAATTATATATTTTTCTTGACTCGGAAGTTAGAAGACATTGAAGCGGTGCCATTAAGCGACATTCGTCTATATAGGGTAAGTGAATGTTTGAAAAATAATTTAAAAACAAAAATATCAACAATACGCTAATGGGCTAAACGAGATAGTTTGGCACTTTGGCACTTAACGTCACCACTCGGCTGGACACGGCGGCTCAGTCTTCCAATAATTTACAAGTTCATATTTTCACGGACTTTACGATCTCTGAATCTTCTTCACTGAGAGCTGAGATTAACACACCCTTGGCTCTTGAGAGATTTACAACACTTAGTTCTTTAAAAAGATTTATTCAGTGTAAATTCATGGAGATTTACAACAGAGTTTTGTTCGTGAGAGTTGGGATTTACAGAAGCTTTCCCTGTTACAGATTTACATTTATTTCTTGATGGTTTATATTTACGCATTTAATTCCTTTTTTAAATATTTTTGTACTCTTATTTACAGATATTTACAAACTTTTTTATGGATTGCTAATAGTAAGATCTAAGAGAGAGAGAGAGAGAGAGAGAGAGAGAGAGAGAGAGATTGATTGATTGCAAGGTGACCTGACACAATTGACGTTAACCATTTGCTATCAGAAGGTCACGTCTGTAATGCTCTTAAAATATAATCTGATTCCGATATCATTTGCATACAGGGGCGAAATGACCCGCTGTGCTGTTTAAAAGGTGATTGAGATGAATGATTCGCTGATCATTTGTTGATTGTCTGTTGATCGAGTTCAGTGATTGGAGTTTGACATGCAAGTGGTAGGCATTAACGAGAATGTCCTCTCCTCGCCTCTCCTCTTCCTTCTCCTCTCCTCGCCTCTCCTCTCCACTCCTCGCCTAGCCTCTTCCTTCTCTCCTCTCCTCACCATTCCTCGCCTAGCCTCTTCCTTCTCCTCGCCTCGCCTCTCTTTTCTCCTCTCCTCTCCATTCCTCGCCTAGCCTCTTCCTTCTCCTCTCCTCTCCTCTCTCCTCTCCTCTTCTCTTCTCTCCTCTCCTCTCCTCTCCTCTCCTCCTCCTCTCCTCTCCTCCAATTAATTCCTTCATTCCTTAGTAATTATAATATATATATTTTTTAATTAAACGACTGGATTTATTTAGTGTATTGTGATTGGCGGATTAAGAGACCAAAGCTTGAAATGCGTGAAGTGGACAGCTTTAGTATGTTATCATAAGCTTTTATTTATAGTTTATTATATCGTTTTTTCTGTTGTTATTTATCGGTCAAGCTTGTCAGACCTGGAGGGGGGGTGTAGTGGTTAATGGTACAGGGGTAATAAGTTGAGGTTAATGTTATGATGGCATTTATAACTATAATAATAATCGCATTACCATTATCATAGTCACCATCACTACTACTATCACCATCACCACCATCTCATCACCATCCATCATCACCATAACTAATTCTCAGGAAATAATATACCACATTTTTTTTCCGTTTCTGGCCCGTGAAATAATTTAGTTTTATTATATATTTTTTTATAATTTATTTCCACGTTAAGGTTTATTTTTATTGGAGAACTACGAATGTGTTATGATGGAATTTATGTTTTTAAATGTCTTGTGTATTTTTTTATTTTTATTTATTTTTACGATAGAATGGAATGTTTAGACGAGTTTTTTTTAACTCGTAATCTCTCTCTCTCTCTCTCTCTCTCTCTCTCTCTCTCTCTCTCTCTCTCTCTTAGAATAAATTGCTTATGTTAATCGTGCACATCTTATACACTTTCGTAAACAACAGTTGTTTTCATGAAGGAGGAGAGAGCAGGACAGCCTCGGTGAAACTTTATACCGTAGACAATTTCCTCCTTTGTTGAAAATTTGAATAAGATTGTATTCAGGAGCTCGCCTGCCTGTGCAACTTTGCAAAATCCACATGTATGAGGGCAAGAGTGCTCTGATTATAGTCCTCGTCGAGTATGGTGTGCTGTGATTGGTCCACGACAACCAATCATGAGAGAGTGTACCCCACCAGTGATTTGTGCAGGTCCATTGTGTCGTGCGTTGATTCGTCGTTCCCAACTATGACGTCTTCAGATATACTTTAGAGAGTTGCTGTGTTCTTAGTGGTCCTGGTTTACGGTGACGTCTGTACCAGTGACATTCTATTGGACCTCATGATGGACAAAGGCCAGTCATGACGTCACGTTTTTATATACGTAAACATTGTCAGTATGTGTGTGTGTAAAAATGCTGATATTGTTATGCAATATGATACTTGAAATGGAGGTAAATTTGATAATAACTCACAGGTGTTTATCTCTTTTCTAGTGTTGTAGTAAAAAAAAGTGAAGTGAAGTGTAATTATATTAATATGAAAGTAAAAAGAAAAGCAAAATAGTAACTGGAAATCTATATTAACTAAAAAAAAACAAGAAAAGAAGTTTGTACTATTTGATCTTCAGTGAGCCTTGGTGTTGTAGCCTTGAGAAATAAACACTAGTTATTGAAATGGATTTTTAGAAATATATTTGGTGGTGTTAAGTGTTGTTCAACCAGTATTGGCGGCAACCGAAACAACTACCATTGAAAACTTAACATCAGCTGTTTGCATTATTACCATAGTACCATCATCAACGTCTAGCAACACCACAATCAACCACCATCAACTACAATTAGGTTCATCAGACAACCAAAGCAAGTTCATAACCAACAAGAGGTAAAGACCATTTTAAATTACAACCAACCAACCACAACAACCACCACCATTCCGCCCCTAGCCACCACCACCACCACCAACGGCGGAAGGTCGCTCAACACCACCACCATTACTACCACCATTACCGCCACCATTACGTCCACCACGACAACCACCACCACCACCACAACCACCATGAATAAAAAGCGTGGTTGGCGATCCTTTCTGAGTCGCCTGCCTGTGTTGGCTCTTCGCCTGACGAAGGTGCCGAGGGTTCACCCGACGCTCAGGGTTCCCAGGCTTCCAGGAGGCTTCGTCCAGTTCATGAAACCTGGAGTTAAATACGAGAAGGTAAGTTTGGACTGATCATCGGGGAGCTGATCTTTAGTGGGGCTGGTCAGGGAGACGATCAGTGAGTTGGACTTGATGGGACTGATCGGTAGAATGGCTGATCTCCTGCTTGGGCGAGGAAGCGGCTAATCATTAGTCCTATTCTTGAAGCTCAGAGTCAAGAGGGACTGGTCATGAGGTGGATGACTGGAGGAGGGATTCATCTCGTCCTCCAGCTATTGAGACCCAGAACCAAGATATGAGTCTCTTTATTTGGTTGTCTTTTATTTTTATTTTTACTTCGTCGAAAGATTTTGTTTTAAGTTTTGTTTGCAATACTTAATGGGTCGTAACTATTGTGTTTTATTCATATTAAATTCATCTTCATAGTTTTTTTTATTTATTTCCAAAATCATTTTATTTACAATGGCTTTTTTTTATCTATGTATTTATTTATTTGTATTTATTTATTCTCTTAATAATTTGTCTATATATTACCCACCTTAATGCAAAATTGAATCTCTAGTGTTCCTTCGTCGTCATTACGTGTTGCAAGTCCAACACGTAATATGTTGCAAATGGTGTTCCTGTGGCGGTAATTAACGCGGCTAACGAGCACTAATGTGTTTCATAAGGTAACGGACACAGTGTGAGGATGATTTAACAAGACCCACTAAAACCTTACACCATCTGGCGGACAAAGTAGGAATTATTCCTTAAATCATCAGGAAAATTATTGCATAAATTATCATATAAATTAAATGTGTTTCATGAATTATTATTATATATATATATATATATATATATGTGTGTAAATGATTATATTAATACATTGTTTCTTATGCACTTTAATATAGATATAGTATTGCACAACGATCAGAGAGAGAGAGAGAGACAGAGAGAGAGACAGAGAGAGAGAGAGAGAGAGAGAGAGGTGTGTGTGTGTGTGCAGCTCAGGTATTTCCCAGCGTCCGACAACCTTTTGAAGTATTTTAACATGTAAATCACTGTTTTGATCCTATTCAATTTTTCTTTGGACTCTCGGTGATAAGTGCAACAAGGTTAAATTTGTTTGTAAGGTACGAGGTTAGTGTGCGTTGTGAGAGAGAGAGTGTGTTCAGGCAGGTGTTTGGGGTGGTGATTCGGTCTAATAAAATCACGTAGTATTTTTTCATAACAAATTACAATACCAAATCACGTTTTATGTCAATAACATAATTACAATACCTAATCACTTATTTTTAGGTAATTTAACACAATACCCAACCACGACGTATTTTTTTTCATGTAATTACAGTTGTTAAGAAATCATTACGAGATATAAACAGGTTCGTATTTCTAGATCTGGTAATCCGTGCAGGCGTTGAGAGTCTGGGGGTGAAATCCTCGTCTATTGCCGTGATTTAAGAAAGTTTGCTGAGGTGGGAGGGTGTCCATGAGAAGGTTTGGCGAGAACGAGACACAGAGAGAGAGAGAGAGAGAGAGAGAGAGAGAGAGAGAGAGAGAGAGAGAGAGAGATTCAGGAAATACAATGAGGCGAATTCATTACTAATCCAGGAGCGACCCTCAGTTTGTTTTACGAGAGATGGCCATCGTCTGGAACGTCTCAAATTCCCATTAAAATTCGATACTTCAGCACTTGCTATCGTTAATTATCGTCGTAAACCTGTTGAACCGACGTAAGTTTTAGTTTACGATACGTGGCGGTGTTGTGACGTAGCGTGACGGACGGAAGATTAAAACAAAATTATGATAAGCCTTTGGTTTAGTTGTTTATTGTCATTATTATTATTCTCTCTCTCTCTCTCTCTCTCTCTCTCTCTCTCTCTCTCACTATTTGCCGTAAACAGACTCTTAAAATTTAAAGGCTTTTGCAGTATTGACATTGATAGTATTCTTTTTTCTTTTCAATTTTCTTAATTTACTTCACTCTGTCATTTATTTACATCGTCTTTGTCTTGTTTTATCATCCATTTATGTTATATTTTTTACTGAATTTAGTTTTTTTTTCTCTTACCTAAACTTAAGGTAAACTTACATAAACTCGGGAGTAAACTTAGATTATTGTGGACATAAATTTCAGTAAACTTAAATAACAAAATATAGAACTTCATTGAACTTGGAGATAAACTAACTTAAACTTGGAGATAATCTTGGAAATAAACTTGAAGATAAACTCACTTAATAATAGAGATGAATCTGAGCTCCCAGTTTGGTGACAGTCAGCTGGTGTCATGAGCGTTATTGATGGTCGTGTCCTGGAGAAGCTAAGGCTCTCCTACCCTTCCCCTCTCCCTCCATCTGTTAGCTTAAGTTATCTCAGTAATGAATTGATATACGAATGATATATTGTTAGTATATACCTGTTAGCTGAGGTTATAGCACTGAATTAATATACTAAAGATATTTTGTAAGTATACTTTTTATTATATGTGTAGTATATATATAATGGTAGATGGATTGTCCTCATTCGGTGATAAAAGATCCATTGATTTTGTATATTTATTATGTATTGTATATCCAGAGAAGCCATTACGTGCCAGGAAGCTCACTGGTGGCATTAAGGATTAGATAAGTCCTTTGCAGCTGCCGCCTCTGCCAGATTAATTGTAGAGATTAAATAACATGAACTTTTATGCATTAAAGTGTTAAATTCGCCTCATTGCAATAGATGGTATTTACATAATTTGATCTGATGGTTCGTGTGTGTAATATAGATCAGAGGTGTAATATTCTAGACACATGTGTAATACGTGTTATGTTATTCGTGGCTCCTAACTTTGTTTTTATGCGGCACAGAGAAGAGTAAGAGGAGAGGGGTGATGGTGGAGGGAGAGTCCTGCTTGCAGTAAAACTTCTTATCCTCGCCAGCTAATGGACCTCGCCTCGCCTCCGCCGCCACAATTTCTGATATAATGCCACAGGGGGATATCTTTTTTAACCTCCCACGACCTGGTTTCTCGGTGTACCATAAGAGACAGCCGGTGGCCATTCATACAGCCTCACCTATCACTGTCTCTCTTCCTGGTGTCGCTTGGTGCACGAACCCACCAATCATCGCCTGTCTTCCAGATGTCACGCGATACACCCCACCAATCAGCGCGTCTCCTCTGGTGTCGAGGGTTATACATCCTCACCCAATCATAGCGTCTCTTCCATGTGCTGCGTAATACAACCCGACCAATTAACTCGTCTCCTTCCGATGTCACGTGATACATTCCCACCAATCATCCCCTCTCCCTGGCCAGTTACTTAGCATTCATTACTTGAACTGCGTCTTGATAAAGCTCCACAATCTGATTTAACTGTCGGAGAGAAATGTATTTAAGTGTGGAAGCTTGTCAGGGAAGAAAGTCAAGACCATAAATAAGGATCTGGCAGTTCAAGAGGATGTAGACCGTCTCTTGACAACCGCGAAATTGTTTCCAGTATACGCAACGTGTTGAATAGCGGCACAACCTCACTGTCGGCTTCCTCCTCCCTCACTACAGTGTTAAGAATGTACACTGGCGCCTAGAAGTCCCTTGACACACTACATTATCTGGCATCTACTTGTGGGTGATATTACAGTACATACGTGGTTGGTTTATATAACTGGGGAACGCTGCTTTGTATTATAGACCACATCAGATTACCTACCGCCCCCCCCCCCCTCTCAAAAAAAATCATATTTGATAGATGTTAAAATAAAATTAAATCCCTCTTACTTCCCTGACTCTCCAGTGTATGTCAGTTTTGTCTGGCACTGGGGAGTTTGGTGTGGTGGGGAGTTTGATGTGGTGGGGAGGAAGTTGGTGTGGTGGGGAGGAAGTTGGTGTGGTAGGGAGATTGGTGTCGTGGGGAGGTAGGTATGGTGGTGCTGGTGAGTTTGATAGTGTTGGTAGGAGGTACAATAGGTGTGGGTTTGTTCGTGGTACTACTTCAATAGAGCCACCCCACCCCCTCCCCCCTCTCTCCTCGCAAATAGAGACACACCCGTTCTCTGTTGTCGTTTCAGTTTTCTATGAGAGAGAACTCGTGTAGACTAGGATACTGATTTACAAAGATTCTCATTTTATTTTAATTTTTTCACTTAACTGGGAAAAATAAGACGATATATTGAAGTTTATATTTCCAGTATTATTTTACATTCATAATATCACCCTACCCTTCCCTGTGTCACCCTACTTTCCATTAATATCACCCTACTCTCCTTCATATCACCCTATTCTCCCTAATATCACCCTATTCTCCCTAATATCACCCTACCTTCACTATCTCCCTCCAGAACCAGCTCACCATTATCGATCATCACATTCCTACACCGTCGACATTTATAAACAAAACAAAGCGGAAAACACTGATTCTGACGTACTCACTAAGTCGTCCATTCATAAAACCCTTCAACCCGTAAATAAAAGCTCAATGAATAGGTGCCTGACAGTACCTCCCTCATTCACTCTCAGCCCTATGTGTGGGGTGTGGGGGAGGGGGTGTTGGTGGGGGTAGGGGGAGAGGTGTGTGTGTGTGTGTGTGTGTCACCCGGTGGTCTGTAGTAACAATATATCTTCTCATCTTAAGTAACAGGAAAAAAAAATCACGTAGGAAACAATAAGAACTAGACTATAAAACGCGTAGGAGAGGGAGAGAGGAAAACTGGTATAAAAATAAAGAAAAAGTGAGAGAAATAGGTGAATAAATAAAGAAAGGGAGAGTTAAAGAAAGAGACATACAGGGCAATAGAGAGAAAGAAAGAGAAATAATTGGAGAGAGAGAGAGAGAGAGAGAGAGAGAGAGAGAGAGAGAGAGAGAGAGAGAGAGAGAGAGAGATGGGAAACTTGAATGTGAGAAAACTAGGAAAATATAGACAGAGGGAGAAAAAACGGAGACAAATATGAGGAGGAACGAATGAGAATGAAAGGTCACATTAGTCCTGGTTGTAATCACTCAGAGTCTGATTAGAATCGCAAATTAGGCAGAAATTGGTCGGCCATTTTTGAGCTGAACTGTCGACCAATTGCACATTTTATTAATTATCATCTGACGTACTGTGCAGTGTTCAGTCGTGCACAGTGCGTCTAATATCGTGTGTTAATGAGGGAGGAGTTAGGTCGACGTAGTTGTATATGGTTAATAATAGGATGATAATTAAATAGGAAGGTGGTTGACGATATCTATGAAGGGAATAGTAATAATAATAATAATAATAATGATAATAATAATAATAATAATACTTCGAGCATAAAAAAAATTCGTACATTGTTCTTCATATCCCCTGTCAGCTGAAGCTCCTAGGAAAAAAAATTCTTGATAAATCTTTTACTCATTTATACTTAATTGCTTTGATTGGAATGTTAATGCTATAGATAAGTGGTGATGTGTGTTGAATCTGTACACATTACCATTTCCTGCTCTCGTAATAAATAGGAGTTGAGGCTTAATAGTTTTTATCTTCATTCTTGATATACTAGTCCAGGGGAAATTGTTGTTATGTTGCGGAATCGGATATTCTTTATGCATGACACGAATGTTGTGTATCTGGAATAGTTATACCGAAATAGAAATCCATTTTCTCTCGTGAAAAAATTTTAAGTCCATTTTCTTCTATTCCGGGTCCATTTTCAGTTAAAGTTGAGGGCAAACTGTAGGAAGAAGACACGCTATACTAATTGTTGTTTTTTGACTTGAAATCAGACTTTGCTTCAGAATTTCACATATTTGTTTTAATACATATATATACTTAATAATAACGTGCTATAACATAGAGGTTGTGGAACATAAAATAGTGGTAATAATTAAACTGATCAATATTTCTTAGATTCACTTCCTGTATTATTGGTGGGCGAATATCTATCACAAAACAGTATTGACTCCTTATCAGATACTTAACCATACTTTATATATACTGGTGAAGACACTATAGTGGCAGTCGTTATAGATTACTAACTTGTTCTTTAACCCTCGATGGAGTAGGTGGACCAGCGAAGGGTGTATCCGTGTTTTACCTCAGAATGGTCTATCTCTCTCTTACTGTGGTCATTAAGGCGCGGGTTCAGTGGGCTCCACCTTAATGGGCTCAAGTAATAGATCCCAGTCGTAATAGACTCAACCTAACCCAAGCTAAGTTGACATAACCATTAGGACTAAGACCTATTATGCCTGCAGCAAATTAAAGCTGATTAGGTTGGGGCTGATTAGGACTGGAGCCCAGTTGACTAATCACCTTACATCAGTGTAGTGGATAAACCATTGGCACTTAATATTAAAATTTTCAAGTAATACTATTGACTGGTGACTGGTCTAACGTCTGGTTGTTTTTAGAGATATTTGGATTAACTTTATATGGCATTATACAAACTAAGGATGCTTTTGGATGCCTCAAATACAATGCACATTTGAACCTTTTCACAGACGAACACTGAAGAATTAACAACATTGCACAGACAAAAACTATTGACCACAGACCAGAATATAACACAAACAAAACGCAGCATTTTTTTCACAGTAGCCATCACGTTAACACAGGCATCAGCGTTGTTATCCACAGAGTCCGATATTTTCACACAAACAAATCTCTACACATTTTTACTGACAGGTCTCGACAGTTACACAGGTAATCCTCGGGCAGAACACACAGGCCACCAACTACACAGACAATCCTCATCGTCCCCACAGTAGTGATTAGGTCATTAAAGGTTAATTAAACCCTGAGACACAAAGGTTACAGGTGAGGCAGAAGGCTGGTCACGTTCCACCACCAACACACGTTACCACCACCACCATCACCACCACCGCCACCACCAGACCCAGAGCTGTCTCCACCACCATTACTTCTACCACCACACTGAGCGCTACCACCACACACTACTGTTTATCACCCTCATCTCAACCACCACCACCACGACCACCACCACTAAACATACTCTATTTCACACTCTACACCTCACCACCAACACACTCCAACATCACCTCCAACACCAGGGTAATTTTTGACTCGTCTTTTTTCCGGTGTCATTAGTGGTAATCTCTGTGCGGGAACGAGGACCCCCGCCACGCTGTGAGAATCTGATGGGGTGTGTTGTGGGGGAAGGTGGGGGGGTGGTGCAGTGGGGGGAGAGAGGGGGTGACGGTGGTACACTAGTGGAGGATGGGTGTGGTGTTAAGTAGAGATGGTGTAGAGGTGGTTTTCCTTTCTCTACCCATTTAATGATATATTTTATTTACTTCGTTTTATTTTTTTAATTCACATCCACTTTTATTCGTTATATTATGCAGAGATATTTATACTGTGTTCTTCCGTCCATCAACTTCACATTTTAGCTAGACTTCTCAACCGTGGTTAATTATTTGGTTGGACTTTAATTATTGCGCCTCATGTAACAACAATCTTCTGAAAGGCAGAGGTCAAGGTCACAGATTACATGTCATAATAGTTCCAGTATTACACGTTTACCCTCCAGGTGTGTGTATGGATGTGTGTGTACGTGTGTGTTAAGTACATTTCCCCGCTGGTAAATTCTTCCACCCGCCATGTTATGCATGCGTCGTTAGTGGTGTTGGTGTCTACAAAAGGGACGTGTGTGTGTGTGTGTGTGTGTGTGTGTGTGTGTGTGAGTGAGTGAGTGAGTGACATATTTTCACTGTTATCATAATTGCGTCGTAATTCCTCCCTTCCTTTACCGCCGCCTGTTTGTGATATTCATGTATATGTATACACTATGACTATACTTTATGTATGTGTATGAATATTCGTGTTGCTAGTACAGCGTTACTACCAAGAATTAGGAAAAATAATACCTATTTCAAGGGAGGTATAATTAGTATTTTATAATTACCTCTCCCCCCCTCAGAGTTAATTATGGGTATTTAGAATATATTTCTCTTGTCCATTTAATTTGACCTCTATTAGCCAGTTAATTACTATTCTAATTATCACTGTATTATAGAACACATAAAATATTGTCGTAACAAGTCACAGCTCATATCCTCCTCCTCCTCCTCCTCCTCCTCCTCCTCCTCCTCCTCCTCCTCCTCCTCCCTCCTCCTCCTCCTCCTCCTCCTCCTCCTCCTCCTCCTCCTCCTCCTCCTCCTCCTCCTCCTCCTCCTCCTCCTCCTCCTCCTCCTCCTCCTCCTCCTCCTCCTCCTCCTCCTCCTCCTCCTCCTCCTCCTCCTCCTCCTCCTCCATGACCTGACGAAGAACATTTTGTATCTCCCTCATAGCGCCACCAATCTCCAACTTGGTGGAGTATTTGCATATCAGAAGATTGATCGGTGCATCAATTTCAGGTCGTTTGTCTTCATATCTGATTACATTCCTCCTCGGTGTCAAGATCAGCATTTTTCTTCTCCCACTTAACGCTGAATTATGGTGACCGTGTGAGACAATTAATGTCGGCAGGTGTAACTCTACGCCACAACAGTCTAGACTCTTGAGCGTTTAACTGTCTATTTTTCAGTCATCAACACTAAGTCCAAATTGCATCACAAGGATTGACCTCAATAAAGTGTCCAGTATCTCACCCGTATTTATTGCGTGAGTTGCTGGACTAAGTGGGTTATTCCAGAGGGGGGTGGGGGGGGAGGTAGTGTAGTAATTTGCTGTTATTGGTGCTTGTTGCTCAGATATGAAGTTAATATAGCCCTTATGACTCTCTCAACCTGGTGAAGACAGGCTTAAGCCACCTCTGCTCCCATTGTCTTTTGTAATTGGTGTTCGTGTTATAGTTTTCTCCCCTTTTTTAGTTACTTATTTTATTATTATTTTTTTGGTGATGTTTATCTTTGGTTTATTCATGTTGCTGGTTTTTCTTCTTCTCCTTTCCCTTTACCATGCTTTATTTTGGTTTTGTTTTGCTTTTCATTTTATTCTCTTATTCCAATTTCTTTTTTCATTTCGTTTTTTTTTACACCTTATATCTTTCTTCTTCTTCTTCTTCTTCTCCTTCTTCTTCTTCTTCTTCTTCTTCTTCTCTTTTATTATGGTTATTTTAATGTTAGTTTTGTTAATCTGGAGTTTCTGGCTTTCAGTCGAGATGTGAAAGTTGATTTTAATTCATCTCTATTGATACGGAAAAGTATATAGTGTCCGTGTGTGTGTTTTGTATGTGTGACAGTTGTAATGTCTTTATTGTTGTTATGATGATAGTCGCCATCTTACCACCTCATCTACTTCGTCAGCAGTCATATTAAACTTATTTCTCTCTCTCTTTCTCCTGCAGCTGTACGATAGGATCCACAGCGCCTCGGTGTCACCAGGTCGCGGAGGAGTGGCCCAGGATGCCATGGAGATCGCCAGGGACGTGGTGGACTTAATGAGGGACTACGATGACGCTATGATCCCGGAGGTGGACGAACTACGGAACATCCTTGGAGAACCTCATATACGGGTAGGTAGGTGCTGGGTGAGGGAGGGTCATGTATCTACAGGTAGTCTGGGGGAGCATTGGTGTGGTTACGGAGGAAGAGGGTGATGAAATAGCAGTGAATGGGTGAAAGGGTTGGCAGAAGCACTGATAAGGGGGGTTTGATGGGTCTTTGAAGTTTAGGTCCGTTGGTTGGGTTGGGGGGGGCCTGGGATAGGTCACAGGAGTTGGCTAATTGGAAAGGTGAATTGGCTCCCGGGGTCGGTGATGAAGGGTTGTGGAAGGACGAGGATTACTGACGGGGAGATGCCAAAGGATAGTTAACTTGAGGGATAGGTGAAGGGGATAGATCAAAACGAGGATGAACGATTAAATAGATGAAAAATAAACTTTAATTATAGGGGAGGTTTAGATTTGATAAGGAGACTGTATAATTGAAATAAACAGGTAAAACGAAGAATTAATTGGCGGGGTACAGTACATAAAGGAAATAAATCATATTAATTAACACAACATACCTGATACGGGAATTAGTTAAAGGTGTACAGGTATATAGGACAGGTAATACAAGGGAGGTGGGTTTTTTTTTCCCTGATGTAAATAAATGGCCACACAAGTGAGTAAATTCCTTGGTGGTGACGGAAAGTTTTAAAAGTGGGTCAAACAGGAGGTAAATTTTCTCTCCTGCAATGTTTGGTCCCTCAGTAAACACTCAAGGTAAGTCGTGTTTTTATTTGATTATTATTTTTTGTTGTAGTTGTTGTTGTTGTTGTTCAGAAGTAACTCATTAGAATATTTGTTTTCAAGTTTAATGTTAAATACAACGAGAAGTAAGATGATTGTTTTATTTGAAGTATATGTTAAGGATAGGAAGTTAATAATTGAATAAATTGTGTGAGAAGAAAATAGATAAATTAGGAAATAGGAGAACGTTGAGTAAACAAAGGAATTGGTGGTAAAGAAAATAAGTCAGTTGATAAGCAAAGTGCTGGGATACGATTATGTTATGGTATTTACTGATTTATTTCAGTTAATTGGGAATCAGTGAATAATTTCTCTTCATAGGTATAACTTTTGGTTTATTATAGCAGTGTAGTTATATAATAGAGTAGATAACAATTTGGGTTTATATTATAGTATAACCCTTGTATTCTACCGTCGTCTACAATCTACCACACAAAAAACTCTACAAATCTACGTGAGTCCGGGTGATCGATCTACGACACTGGGGGGGGCGAACCTTCTCTATATGTGTGTTTTGTTATATGAAAATTATGTCTAGTCAGCCATGAGTTCTGGTATTTAAAACGAGGGTTGTATAGAAGACATACAGGTAAGTCCCCTCCTGAACCCTAATTACATATTCTCCCAGGTATAAAGTGTTATAATGTCGTCAAATAGGTTGGTGTATTGGATGTATGTAAGTAAGTTGACTTCAAACAAAGACATTACGGAATTGAATGAGAGTTGAATTTATACAAAAACTTAAGAATATATTACTTTATAATCTATTTGGTCAAGATCTCGTAAGATTTTGTCAAGATCTCGGAACAATAAATGAAGTTATTGAGTAAAAAATAAAGAATAAATAAAAAAAAATGGACCACTAACTCCCATACAAATAGACAAAACAGTTCGATATATTCCACTACTGTGTTGGCATCGGGGAATAGAAAAAAAAAAACACATTCCAAACAAAAGTATCAAGTATTTAGGGAAAGAATTACAAAGGTTCGGCGTTTATCTTATATTGTTTAGGTCAACTTAGTCGTCGAGCAATGCAGCCACAGTCATGTAAATAAGGCCTTTGTATTTTGACTTTACTCGAGTTTGTCTCAGAGTGTGTGTGGGAATTTAGTGGACAGAGATGGTGGATAGACAGAGACAGGTGGACAGAGAGATAGGTGGATAGAGAGAGAGAGAGAGATGGACACAGACAGATGGAGAAAGAATCAGGGAGTGGATGACAGGGGAAGGGAGAATCGGTGAGAGAGAGAGAGAGAGAGAGAGAGAGAGAGAGAGAGAGAAAGTTGTCTAAGTAGGGTTGTGTCAAGGTAATGGTTTGGGCGAGGAGAAAAAATTACATTAGTGGGAACTGATAAGTGATGATGATGATGAATAAGAGGGGAGAAACAGGAACTAATCAAGGACAGTGGATGAGTGAGTGAGAGTGTGTGGGACAATGAATGAGTAAGAGTGTGAGAGTGTGAGGGTATATGAGTGTGTAAGGTGAAAGTGTGTGAGAGAGTGTAAAAATTTTTGAATGAGAATGTAAGTGAATAAGCTGTAAGGGTGGTTGAAATTGAGTGAGTGAGTGAGTGAGTGAGTGAATGAATGTTTTTACTCTGCGCTATACAATATCTTTCAAAACACATTTAATAAACCAGGAACTCAGTAATTATCCACACACACACACACACGTACACACACACACGTACACACACACACACACACACACACACACACACACACACACACACACACACACACACACACACACACACACACACACACACACACACACACATGCACATGCACACACACGGGTGATTTACGAACCGATGATTTTCTTTGCGTCATTTACAGCGAAACGAATGATTTACGATCTTTCATTTAACAGTGAACGGGGGATTTTGTTTCCGTCATTTATTGCTAACGGGTGGTTTAAAATGTTGAATTATATCCGTGTTGTCGTGGTGGTGACAGTGGCTGGTGGTAGTGGCTGGTGGTGACAGTGGCTGGTGGTGACAGTGGCTGGTGGTGATAGTGGTAATGGTGTTGATGACAATGGTAATGGTGGTGGCGATGGCACTGTTGGGGGTAGTGGCAGTGATGGTGGTAGCAAATTTGTGGTGGCAATGGTGGCAATGGTGGTAGTGGCGGCGGTGTTGGCTGGTGTTGTAAAGACCTCCTTGTTATTAAAGGTGTGGGGATATATTCGGCTGCCCCAGGAGCGGCCATAACGTGTGAAATATTCGAGTTCTGACACAAATTCCTTTCCTTTATGAAAGTTTAATTCTGACTCCGTGCTGCCTGTTCCACTTGCCACATTTTTTCCCAACTCTAAAATTTCCCTCTTTGTTTTATTTGGATGTTTACTTTAGGCATAAAAGCATAGATTTAATATATAATTTCTATAATCCTGTAGGTATAATAGTTTATAATTTGTTTCCTTAACTAACTGTAATTATGTTTCATCCTTGTTTCTGTTGTGTTATATTTCATCCTTGTTTCTGTTGTGTTGTTGACGCTATATTACACGTCGTTATTATAGTAATTACTAGATTATATCATTACGAGGTGTTTTATATTTTCTGGTGTCATTTATATAGTCTGATTTCTTGCTTTCTTTTCGTATAGTTAATTTCCATAGTGTATAGTACACGGTGGGTCACTCACTGGTGGATTTCTCATAATTTGAACTAGCACACACACACACACACACACACACACACACACACACACACACACACACACACACACACACAGAACGGCGTCAGTATGCATGGCGACTCACCACCAGTCAGAATCAATTTTCCTCATATTCTTTCTCCCAGTGAGTGGCTGGAGTGGTTTCTCCTGGATTTTCGGTTCTTCTGTAAGGAAACTGAATCTGATTTTGTCTCTGTCTCCAATACCCTTTTCAGCAGCGTCCTGGCAAATTTTACCTCATCTTCGTTTTTTGTTTTATTTTTCTTGTTAGGAATATATATTTTATTCTAGACAGGTGTACCTCGATAACGGACGGATTAGGGGACTGTGAAATGTCGTTGGTTAGTGAATCAGCGGTTATGGAAGCAATTAATCCCATAAGAATCTAACAAATTCAGGAGGTTAGGGACCGGCCAACCCCCCGAGATACGTCCGTCTACTCTTGGTGGATCTCTGTCATGCAAGAAAATAAAGCAGACATATAAAGCACGCATAATAAGCCTTAAATAATGAATGTAAAGCATAAATTGAGACTGATATTTACCTAACCTGACCTTCCTACTCTAACCTAACCTGACCTACTCTAACCTAACCTGACCTTCCTACTCTAACCTAACCTGACCTACTCTAACCTAACCTGACCTACTCTAACCTAACCTGACCTTCCTCTAACCCAACCTGACCTTCCTACTCTAACCCAGTCCTGACCTTCCTACTCTAACCCAACTCTAACCTACTCCAACCTAACCTGGACCTACTCTAACCTAACCTGACCTTCCTACTCTAACCTGACCTTCCTACTCTAACCTAACCTGACCTACTCTAACCTAACCTGACCTTCCTACTCTAACCTAACCTGACCTTCCTACTCTAACCTAACCTAACCTAACCTACTCTAACCTAACCTGACCTTCCTCTAACCTAACCTGACCTTCCTCTAACCTAACCTGACCTACTCTAACCTAACCTGACCTTCCTACTCTAACCTAACCTAACCTGACCTACTCTAACCTGTTGATAACGTCACAGCCATACCTTCTTTGTCATATGTCCTTGTGAGTATTATTGTTTTTTTATATATATAATTTGTTGTTATAGTATTATTACTGCGCTGCAACAAGGGAGGTCTTTAAGTACATAGCAGAGTTGGTAATACACTTGTCCAACAGCGATAAAAAAAAATATTATTATAACCATTTATATCTGGTTATATATATTCAACCCTCCTTCAACACCCCCCCCCCCACACCCACACCCACACCCACACACACCCACACCGACACCCACCCACACCCCTCCACCCTAAAAAAAATAGAATCACCATTGTAATTTATATAAAGAGCCATACTTTACCTCATACACTATTCATAAATTGGCCATTACGTCTATTACGGGGATGGACACGAGGAGGGTGTATTTATTTAATAAGAGAGGCAGGAGAGAGTATTATAAAGGCTAGTGGTGGCGGGAGCAGGGTGTAAGTGCCGGCAAAATGGGTGTTGGTGAGGTTAATAAAGGCGGTGGTGTAGCGAAGGACTGTCTGAGTGTTGTGACGTTATGGGGGTGTTGTGTTGTGGTGTTATAATGTGATG